GGGGCCCCACCGCCGGAGACGGGCGGCTGCGCCTGGCACGGCTGGCACTGGTGCTGCTGGGTTGGGTCTCCGCGTCGGCGCCCAGCTCTTCGGTACCCTCGTCTTCCACCTCCCCGGCGGCCTTCCTGGCCTCGGGGTCTGTGCAGCCTCCGCCAGCCGAGCGATGCCCGGCGGCGTGCGAGTGCTCCGAGGCGGCGCGCACGGTCAAGTGCGTTAACCGCAACCTGATGGAGGTGCCCGCGGACCTGCCTTCCTACGTTCGCAACCTCTTCATCACCGGCAACCAGATGACCGTGCTCCCGGCTGGCGCTTTCGCCCGGCGGCCACCGCTTGCCGACCTGGCGACGCTCAACCTCAGCGGCAACCACCTGAAGGAGGTGTGTGCAGGTGCCTTCGAGCATCTACCCGGCTTGCGCCACCTCGACCTCAGCCACAACCCTCTCACCAACCTCAGCGCCTTCGCCTTTGCGAGCAGCAACGCCAGCGTCTCGTCCCCTAGCTCCCTGGAGGAGCTTTTCCTGAACCACATTGTGCCCCCTGAGGATCAGCGGCAGAATGGAAGCTTCGAGGGCATGGTGGCCTTTGAGGGCATGGTGGCAGCTGCCCTACGCGCAGGCCTTGCGCTCCAAGGGCTGCAGCGCCTTGAGTTGGCCAGTAATCACTTCCTTTACCTGCCCCGGGATTTACTGGCCCAACTGCCGAGTCTCAGTCACCTGGACCTTCGGAACAACTCTCTGGTGAGCCTGACATATGCGTCCTTCCGCAACCTGACACACCTCGAAAGCCTCCACTTGGAGGACAATGCCCTCAAGGTCCTTCACAATTCCACTTTGACTGAGTGGCAAGGCCTGCCTCGTGTCAAGGTGTACCTGGACAACAATCCCTGGGTTTGCGACTGCTACATCGCTGACATGGTGACCTGGCTTAAAGAGACAGAGGTGGTGCCGGATAAAGCCAAGCTCACCTGTGCATTCCCAGAAAAAATGAGGAACCGTGGCCTCTTGGAGCTCAACAGCTCTGACCTGGACTGTGACGCTCTCCTCCCCCCATCCCTGCAGACTTCCTATGTCTTCCTAGGTATTGTTTTAGCTCTGATAGGCGCTATTTTCCTCCTCGTTTTGTATTTGAATCGTAAAGGCATAAAAAAGTGGATGCATAACATCAGAGATGCCTGCAGGGATCACATGGAAGGGTATCATTACAGATACGAAATCAATGCGGACCCCAGGTTGACAAATCTCAGTTCCAACTCGGATGTCTGAGAAGCGGGACTGGTCTGCATGAGCTGTAGACTTCAGAAACAGGACAACTCTGCATGAGCTGTAGACTTGAGTTGGTTTTTGTTTGTTTGTTTTGTTTTTCGTTTTCCCCTTTACTAGGCTTGCTCCACCTCCACCCTCCATCATCCACAGCAGTGACTTGGACTGAAAGCAGCGAAGGGATTTTGCTTCCTTGTTATGTAAAATATTGGTGTGTTCTGTTAATGTAAGAACTTCAACAGTCCTGCATACAATGTTTATTTACCCTTTTCCTTTCGGTAATCCTCGATGCCTGCGGAGGGAGTTTTTTTTTCTTCTTTTTTTCTTTTTCTAAAAGTTCCAGCATGGACACGGACTCTTTCTTAATTCAGTTCAAGGTGTAGCACAGATAGCATTCAACGGAAGCTGCCTCAGATTTTTTGAGAAAAATACTTTATTCATAAATATCAGTTTCATCCTCGCCTACGTAAATTATGGAGAAGATAATCGCATCCCCGAACTGCCTGCAGACCTTAGCAAGCTCTTTTATAGAACATAGTGAAGAGGAGCACCTGCATCCAGGAGCATGCTTACATTTTACTATTCTGCATATTAAAGAAAATTGCAACTTCAGATAACCTCTTTGACAAACTAAATTACTTTCTGATTGCAGTTTATAGAAAGCTGCCCTATGGGGTTTCTTTTTCTTTTCTTTTCTTTTTTTTTATAAACTGCATTGAGACCCAACAGACTGGATTGTTTAAAAAAACAAAACAAAACATCAATAAAAAGTCTTAAAAGAAACATGGTGTGTTCTAGTTTGGTATTTTGAAATGAGGATTAAAGGCAATGATATTGAGTCGTTTTGGTTCAAGTGATGAGTTATTAGTTAGCAGACCTGACATCAAACTAGAGCCGCGTCTTCTATAAACAGACAAGATAGTTCTGAAATGCTGGATTCTTTTAGGGCTTAAGTAGAATTAAAATATTTATAGGGTCAGACTATTAGAGGTCCCCAAGTTAATGGTGTTCAGCGTTGTGAAGTTGGTAACAGTGAAGAGTTCTTCAAGAGAAACATCTCACAGCTGCTGCTTTGTCTAGACTAACGAAGTTGTTAAGACAGAAATATTAGCAAAACTGAATGAAGTTGCTCCATGGAATTTTAGAGCCAAGGATGAGTCATGTGCTGGCAATAAATGTGTGAAAATAAAGTATCTTAAAATATTCTGGAATAAAATATTTTTAAAACACAAACAGTATTTTCAAAGATCGTAAATTGGAATTCAGAGTCTTGAAAATATTTTCTAATTTTTTAAAATGGATCAAAGAATGTTTTTTTTTAAATTACCAGGATTGCATTTAAACTTAAAGAAACACCCAGGGATAAATATTTGTATTTAGGAATAAGTGTCATAAGTAATTATTGGGTTTTGTGTTCAGTATTTAGGAATTTGAGGGCTTTTTAAAAAAGGCTAAGCTCTGAGCGCTATTTAAGTATATTTACCTCCATAGGGAATAAATCATATTTAGGTATAAATAGAAGCAATTCTTGATTGATACTCTAGTCATCCTGTCCTCTTCTCCCTCATCTTTAATCCCCGCCCCCTGTCATCATTGGCCGCTACAGTGAACAGTAAACTTCATTTCTCTGTCTCTAAGCCCTTATATAAAGGAACTTAAATCTAGCCATTATTCCATAACTTTTATAGGAGGACACCTGCATCAACAAACTTCAGAACCTGCCTTCCTTTTAAGTGATTCATGTCTATAGTATCTTACATTTGAAATAAAACTTATACTTAGCTATTTTTATAAATAAATAGATCATACCATGCATTATAAAACTCTTTTCTGATTACTCTTGCAGTTGGGTTCAGTTTTCAAAACTATGTGAATCTATTCGATGTTTCGAACTGGTTATATGGTCTAGTCAGAACACGGGCTTTAAGATCTTCAGTTCTGTATGACTTACTTTGTGAAGTAATATTTACTGTGTATGGGTAATATTTCTGATCCTATAATTACCTGAGTAAAGGCTACTTAGTGTTTCATTGAACATGTTAAGTGTGCATGTGATGTTCATAAACTGGCTGACTGCCATTACTTTCAAAGAATAATTAAGATGTTAGTGTGCCAAAAACAGTAAAATTACCCAATAAATAATAGAAATGAGCTATTGATGACAGGTTGGTGGATGTGTAGATATTATGTGGTATTGATGGAGCTTGTATTACAGGGATTATTTCTTTGCCCCCTGATAATTGAACAGTTAAAAATGGTGCATTATTGAAGATTCAGGAACTGTGTAGATTCATTGGTTTTTATTCTTGTACTTTTTTTTCCCCTCCTATCAACTCCCAAAGCAGTGATGAATCCATCAAATGAAGATGATTTACCTGTTCGGAGGTGGCTGTTTTGAGGCTGTCATTCTCCCTTCTACCCCCACCGTCCTCTCCTGCACGAACTTGCTGATGTACCTAGACCCTTATTTTGTACGGTTATAATACATGTGGTCCAGAAGTGTGCCAGCATTCTAAGTTCCTTGGAAGACAAGTGCAATATAAACACAACCAGCGTATGGGAGTGATAGGAAATGTGAAAGATGCAAGTTGTGACTTTATTTAAAATAATTACACTTGTTGTATCAACACTGCTCTTTACCATTATACATGGCTCTTAGAAACCTACAAGAATTCCGCTTTGTTACTATACTTTATTTCAGAAGGTAAGTATTCAGCTGACATCCTTTATCCTTAGCAAATTGCATTTGAAGGAAATTAGAAAAATGCATCTTTTAATCTCCTAATTTGAAAAGCTTTGCAGATATCTAATGCATGCCTAATTAGTGAAACAAAGACATTAGGACAGTGTAACTGTTTGACCCCCACATAAGTGCTCTCTGGGGGCTTTCTCTCTTCAGCCTTAATTCTTGTCAGTCAGCTGTCCTGAGTGCAAGCCATCAGTCACCTATAAGGTTTCTTTTACAAAACACATTTGGTGGGTTGATTTTGTTTCTTTGTTTTAAGAAAAGTTCCTCCCTAAAAGATGAACAGGAAGGCTGAGTTGCAACACATGGGTGACCCAATGAGTAAGTTCTCATGAAACATCATGATTGACAATGAATGCAAATTATTGCTCATTGCAGTATTTAATTAAAAATCAGTGACGCCTTACTGTAGCATCTTTTAGAAGTGGCTGTGGTATAAGGCAACCAGTCGATGGCTTTTTCCCTCATAGTTTCATTCTTCTCCCTTTGGCCTGGGGTTCCACTAATGCGAATCTTGCTTTATTGAAGATATTAGAAGCTTTTCTACTCAAGTTTGCTGGAATTCATCTCTTCCATCATTCCCACTTTCCATATTGATCTTTCTCCAAAGACTTCAGGACTTCAATAACGGAGACCATGAGGATCTGCCATGCTCAGAGCTAGGCACGCTTTTTCTTCCTGCTCCGAAATCCCCTACCTGTCCAGCCTTTGGAGCTGCATCAGGAAGACAGACTTTCATTAGACCAGGTAGGGGAGAAAGGGAGGAAATTCTATTTGTGGGTAACATACAAAAACTCATTAATAGTTTCTTCTTAGTAGGTTTCAGCAGCACGGGAGAGGTGTGGTAGAAATGGGTAGCTTAAGACACCCTGTGCTGCCCTGCACGACTGTCTCCTTCCAGATGGGGACAACAGCTCCCTGAAAGTTTCATACAATTACCTTTCCATTCTCCTTGGAGACTGGATTCAAAAAGGCAGACTTTTCAATTGTGTGTTTTATCTGAGAACATTCTAGCAGCCCGGTTAGTGCCACAGGTTAAAAAAAAAAAACCCAAAAACCCTAGACTTAAAATTGTTTAAGATAGGCTTATATATTTACAGATGCATGAATTCTTAGTGTTTCATACTTGGAAGGGCTATTAGACATGCCAGGCAAGTTCCATTCTACAAATGAAAAATGATGACTGTGTCTTATCCATAGCATAATGCCAGCCACTCCAGGTGCAGGGATCCTAAGCTACCCATCCCCCACTTTGATTGACAGGTGGCAGTATGACTATTGCCTACCCTTGGAAATTCCTGTGTCTGATTTTTAAACACAACTTCCTTGGTGCACTTGTACTGTTTTGAGTGAGCATTTCAATCTTCAGATTTTCCTTTAAAATTAGTTACAGGTACCATACTTCAGGTCCTTTGACATATGCTAATGTTTATGAAATAATATTTTCCTGGTTGTTGTTCCTATGAAACATCTCTGTATCTATAGCATGATAGGAAATAGTTTTATAACTCTATTATTTATAAATTGTACAGAAGAATGGATTTTATCACGGTATTTTCATGTGTGCCTATTCACCCGCATGATAGGAAATATTTTGGAAACTTCATGGTGTTACTTGGATTGAAAGGACAGAAATTCTGAAATGCTGGATAATGTGTGTAATTCTCTTTTGAAGACGAATTAGTTTAGCTGGTGAGAAATGAAACAAATTAGGCCGAGTTCATGGCCATGAGGCTGGTGGCCAGGCGAAAGGGTCAGCTTTGCATGGTATGGTCTGCTCTGCTGGCTGCGCCCGTGCCAGGCATGTGTCGCCATCCTTCCGGGGTCTGGACACAAGCAGCAGCCACTCCAGCAGCACGGAGCACTCTCACTTCAGTAAAGGCCGTGTGTTGACAGACTGGCCGGTCCTGCTGCTGCACGGGGTGACTGTCTGCGCATGCAGCCCCACGGACAAGAACCCCAGCTGTCCCCATTGCAGTTGTGCAACTGACTGCAGAAGGTTTGACATTTATGTGAATTGCGAGGAGACTTCGGTTGGTACCTTTGAATGCATCATGTAGGAAACTAGGTTTGCTTAATTATCCTAAATAAAAATGTGCCTTAAGTGATGACTGCTACATTACAAACTTACACATAAATTTTCATTAAATATGCTCTCTCTGTTTAGCCAGCATTTTATGATAATAAGGCCCATTTATGATTCTGTTTAGTTTGATTAATGTCAGAAAACACTTGTTATCAAGGAAGCAAAAACTTAAAATACAACCAAAAATAAGACTTTTTAGTGGAAAGTACCTATTTAATAATATGTTTTAATTTAAGGATATAGTTGAGATATAATTTTTTAATTGAGAACTTGTAGGCTTTTCCCACATAGTACTCCAAAGACAGCTGTGATATATGATATTTAAGGGCCACTATTTGTACACAGGGGAAGTGGACTAGCTGTGACCTTAGGTAGGTCAGTTTACAACCATGTTCTTCATGGACAGTCTCCAGTAGTAGAATGTGATGGCAGTGGGCTTCAAAGAAGACAGCTTTCCAATCAAACACTTGTGATCATTCATATAGGTTCCAAATGTGGATATACATGTTAAATTACATATTTAAGTTAATTTATACTTCTCAAAATATTTAAATATAAACATAATTTATAAGTATTTAAAACTCCAGGGGTCAGAGATACACAGTGTTTGATACTGTCATCAAGGGGGAAAGTCTTAGTGTTGAGATAAACTGCTTTCTCTTCATGTCACTTGTATCTTGTATATGTAATTTACATGTGATTTACTTGCAATCATTGCACTATCCCTAAAGTTGCTTTGGTAGCTGGTTTTAGAATACTGTATTTCATACAGAGGCATGTCTTGTGGCTTAGGTAATCCTGTAGTGAGCATTGTGCCTGCTTATGTTTCTGCTTTTGCCATTTTCTCCCTTAGTGTAGACGCTTGAAGAAGAATGACTACCTTTAGCTAAACTCTGAAAGTAATGTTGAAGCCTATTTAAAAGTACAGAGTTCCCCTTTTGTCTTAAGGGT